TTAAGCACAGAACTGATCATTAGATTTCCTGTCTCAGCTGCTGCACTCAGGTTCTGCCCTTTCTTCCTGCGTGTTGCTTAAGGATGGGGACGCATTTCCCTCGGGCACAGGGAATCTCCTTCAGATCAGAGCTGAGTGTGAATGACTGCATTAGGTGAGCCAAACCCTAGAGACTGATGGGGTCATAACATACACTTGCAGAGCGGATGGGATTTGTACCCAGAGCCTAGCACAAGTCCTCTTCCACTGAGCTACATCCACAGCCCTTCGTTAATCACCAAGGCATTGCTGCCTCATACCTGTATTCCTAGCTACTCAGGAAGGTGAGATTTGAGGATTAAAGTTTGAGGCTAATCTGAACAAGAAAGTCTGTGACTATTACCTCCAATTACCTACCAACAAATCCAGAAGTGCAACTGTGCCTCTAGTGGTAGAGTGCTAGCCTTGAGAGAGGGAGAGAAAAAAAACAAGGATTGTGCCCAGGGCCTGAGGTCAAGACACAGAACAGGTACAAAATAGTTTTTTTTGTTTCTTTTAAAATTACTCTCTGAAGTGGAACCGGCTGGCCTTGAACTTGGTATGCAGCACATGCTGGCCTCTGATCATATTTCTCCCACCACACTGGCACCAGAAGAATGTGTTTTGCTGAAATGAATGATGCTAATGTGTTGTGAGTTTGATGATGCTACAAGTGCAAATTCCGGGTTGACTCTGGGAACGCTGAGACTTATTACTCACCCAGAGCTGGCAAGCATGTGGAAATTCCTTTCCAGAGTAGCCACCCAAGTTTGTATGGACACTGCAAATATGTTTCTAGAACAGAAGTTCCAACCTATCACAGAGGACATTGTAAAGCCAGAGAAAGTGGGGCTGATGGGGTCAGGTGGCCAGGATAGTGAGAACTAGGGAGACAGCAGGAGAGTGCACTGAGCCCAAGAGAGCACAGCTGCTCATGGTTCCCAGGGGAGAAGGAACCACAACCTGACCTGCAAAGGGCTGCAGCACAGCAGGGAGCAGCCTGCAGGTGGCAGGCCTGTCCCTGGACACTGGCCCAGCTAGATGTGGACAGAGAGGTCTCCTTGACGGAAGGGGTTCCCTGTGTTCTGTGCAGTGCAGCCCAGGGCTTGGCAGGCAGAGGACACTTAATCAATGTTAGTTGCTGGAAGGAAGGAGCCTTGTTCTCTGCATTGCAAAGTGGAGAAAATGACAACCCCAAGCCCTTCTAGCTCTCCTTCCAGTTGCTCAGATTCTTCTCTTGCCTTTCCTTGTACTTCTCAGCATCCCTGAGAACTCTTGTACTTTCTGAACTGCTTCAGATTTATAACAGTCTCTGTGTGTGTGTGTGTGTGTGTGTGTGTGTGTGTGTGTGTTTGTATGCTGATCCTGAGACTTGAACTCAGGGCCTGTCCCTGAGCCTTTTTACTCTAGGCTACTCCTCTACCACTTGATTCACAAGTTCACTTCTAGCTTTTTGAAGGTTAACTGCAGATAGAGGTCTTCAGGACTTCCCTATCGGGGCTGATGCCAAACCACAATCTTCAGAACTCAACCATGTAGGTAACTAGAATGAGTGATGTGAGCCACCAGCATTTAGCTCAGTCCTGAAAGTTTTAGTCCTATCCATAAATTAGATGTCAAGAAAGGCTTTAAATAATGATTTTACCACCCATGGTGCCACTACACCTATTGAGAGTATAAATTGGAATCAACCACAATGGCATCCAAACCACTTACCTGAGAATAAGTGAAGAGGGATCAGGAATTTGTTACTTGCTGTGTGAATATTCTGGGAAGCACAATTCAGCCTTATACCTCCAAATTGGGATAAGGCCAACAGACCCAAAAACTTAACACAAATTTGAATGGATGAGATAAACTGAGTGTATTACCAGCCATGTACAAAGCAATAGATGCCTGTGCCTCCAAAGGGCTGTATTTACCCAAAATTTTCCAAGTACCAAAGTTGACATCTTCCTGCCTACTCTGCAATTAGGGAGGGGTTGTGTTTGTTTGGTTTTGGGGTGTTTTTTTCATCTGTCTTGAGTCTTGAACTCAGAGCTCTTTTGCTCAAGGCTAGTGTTGCACTAGTTTGAGCCACAGCAGTTCCTTGGGTTTTCATATGGTTCATTGGAGATGTGTCTCATGGACTTCTCTGCCTAGGTTGGCTTTGAATGGCAATTCTTAGATCTCAGCCTCCTGAGTGTGTAAGATACTGGGCATGATCCACCAGAGCCAGGCTTCAGCACTTATTTATATGGTTCTACATTGATTAAAAACAAAACCCGACAACAATAAAGCAGGACTTGGGGTTGTGAAGACTTGTACTTGGCTCAGTGGTAGAGCGCTTGCTTTGTATGCATGAGGCCCTGGGTTGGATTCCTCAGCACCACATAAGCAAAAAGAAAAAAGACCCGAAGTGGCACTGTGGCTCAATTGGTAGAGTGCTAGCCTTGAGCTGAAGATCTGAGAGACACTGTCCAGGCCCAGAGTTCAGGCCCCAGGAACAGACACCCTCCCTTCCCCCCCTCCCCCCCCCCGCGCCCCCCCCCCCCCACAAAAAAAGGCTGGACTTATATCGGCATCGTGTGGTCACATTTGAAAACTACAGGCCTGGATAGATTAAACCTATACTCTGGGACATTTGTATGTCTATCCTTTTTTTCTTCTTCATTAAACACCTTCTTCGACTTAAAAAAAAAAAAAAATATATATATATATATATATATATATATATATATATATATCAGAGATTGAAAATGTGGCTTAGTGGTAGAATGCTTGCCAACATGGATGAAGCCCTGGCTTTGATTTCCCCAACCACATGGAAAAGGCTGAAAGTGGCAGTATGGATTAAAAGGGTAGAGTTCTAGCTTTGAATAAAGGAAGCTCAGGGAGAGTGCCCAGGCTCTGAGTTCAAGACCCAGACCTGACTATATATATATATATATATATATATATATATATATATATATATATATATATATATATATATATATATATATCAACTGAGAGCAAGTAGCTCATGCCAGAAGTGATGTTGTGGCTCAAATTGGTAGAATACAAGCTTTGAGTGATAAAACTCTGGGACAGTGCCCAAGCCCTGAGTTCAAGCCCCAAGAAATGACACAAAAAGAAAATCACTATCAAAGTCAGGTAGTGTGGACCCTGCTATACTCCTACCTACTCAGGAGGCAGAGGTCTCCCATTCATGGCTTCAACAAGCACTGACAGGAAAGTCTGGGGCTTCTTATTTCCCAAAAGCACGAAGGGAAGCTGTGGCTCAAACGATACAGTAACCTTGACCTAGAACAACCTTAGGGGCAGCACACAAGCCATGAGTTCAAGCCTCAGGACTAGCACATATACAAAAAAATAAAACCCTCAAGTGAGAATTTTTTCTTCAGGTCTCTTCTCAAAGGCTCAACACAGGAAATCCCAGATTCCAGGCAGTCCACAGAACACAGGTAAGGACTTTGCACAAGGAGATCTTCCAGTTTACCGATACTTTCTCTAGATATCTTCTTGGAGAATTTCACCACAACTCAGAAAAGTTCCCTCCACGTCATGATGAACACCTAGTACACAGTCAGCTCTGTCCCCACGCCCACACCATGTCACCTGTCCTGCAGCACTGCCTTCCTCCTGCATGTCATGGTCCTTCCTTGCTCTCTTACACACCCTGCCACCTTTCTCTTCTGCTAGCACACATGCTCCACAACCATGACAGTTCTGACCTCCTTTGACTTTCTGAGCGATTCCAAATTCAATCTGCAGACCGATGTCAAACGCCTCAGAACCACATTGTTAAGTAGTCAGAGCACAGGCCCTGCTGTCTGGCAGGAGATTCCTGTGTTAATTTGTTTCTGAGAATGAAGCTGAGCAGAAGGGAGTGTTTTGGTCAGGGTTGAAAGGACCAAGTCAGCCTTAGAGGGAAGGCAGGGCACAGCAGGAAGCACAGCGCCTCTAGTGGCAGCAGGAGGCAGAGCAGGGCAGTAACAGGGTGCAGAGAAAACACAATCCCCAAGAACCCACACACAGTGGAGTCCCACTACCACAGTCCACCAGCTTCCAGAACTCTCTTCAGGTTTTCAATTTACCACCTGATGACACTCTCCCTAGGTCAGAGCTCTCATGACCCATTCTCCTTGAAATGCCCTGACACACACATGTGGACATGAACTCCACTAACTTGCAGATCCTCTCAGCCAATCAAGATGGTACCATAATCCCTTCCTGACTCTGCTCTTCAATCCAGAAATGTGGGTGGGAGCAGAGCTGGGACTAACCAGAGCTGAGGGCAGGTGGAGGGAAGGTGGGCAGAGAAGTTGCAGAGGATCAGGAAGGGAGCTCGCAGGAGAAACCTGACATCCCTCCTCTCTGCTCTTCCCACAGGGGGCTCCCTTGAGGGCACTGGGGACAGCACAGAACCACACTGGAGGCAGCAGTGCTAGAAGGAAAGCAAGCTGCCTCACATTGCCTTTCTCCTCACCACACACACCCTGTGCAAGGCTGCCTGGTGCTTTGGGAGGCAGTGACAGGAACACACCCCCTGCTGCTGTCACAGGGACACCCAGAAGGCCAACAAGACACCAGCTCATGCAGGATTACAAGAAGGGACATAAGTATGGAGAAGAACTGATGGTGCCTTAGTAGAGGACTCAGGCCTGAGCCTAGTCTCACCTACACAGTCTGTGCTGTGGCCTAGACAAAGGAAAAGCTCCTCTGATCATAGGTGCTCATGGAGAAGGTTCTAGAAAAACAACACAACTGAGGAGCAGGGAAGACAACCCAGGTGAGGACTGAATACATGACAGTCCAGAATGCACTGAGCTCCTATCCACACCTGCCTGTTCTCAGCCTAACCCTGGCCCTGCCCACAACACAGCTCAGCAAACATGATGATTCTGGAATTTAATCATGTTTGATTTTCTTTCTCAATTTTGGGAATCATTCGTTGATTTATTCAACCTTTTTCCACGACAACGATTTGAAACACAGACCCACATCCACATTCTCTTTATCAGTGGGGAAGCAGCAGCTGCAGCTCAGAGCAAGGGAAAGTGAAGTCAGGGATGGGGAAGCCCTGGCCCCGCCTCTGCTGGAGCAGCAGCTGGAGGGGAAAGAGACCCAGGTCAGTGTGGGGAGGGTCCTGGTGCTCAGGGCTGGGCTGGCTCCTCAGTTCCTCACAGGAGGCTGACAGCACACAGAAGCCTGGACACAGTCAGAACCCAGGTACAGGAAGAGAAGTCAGGAGCTCATGATGTCCCAGGAGGGAGGAGGAGAGGCAGGAACAAATGCTGTGCCTCTCAGACCACACAAAGCAGCTGTGTCACACTGCAGGAGAAAAGCACAAGCACAACAATGCAGATCAGTCACTGTTAGCGACACACTCTGAGCAGGCCACTAACACCCAATGCATAGACCCTGCAACTACAACACAGCCTTCCCTGGGCCTCAGCCCTGCCCCCCATCTAGGGTCTGCAGGTTGTCACCTTTTTCAGCTCTGAGGGAAGCATCAGAACCCTGGTCACTGTCGTCTCCTGTGGTGGAAGAGAGGAACTGGTTAGAGAACACAGGCGTCACTGGAGGAATTCCGGGGTGCATGAGCTCCCACAGGTCCTGTCTGCACCACAACAAAGGTCACCTCCTCCCCCATGGCACTCACTTGCAGCCTTATCATAGCCTTCTCTCTTGTCACCTATAGGGAGAAACACCATGTGAGAGGCAGGACACAAGCAGTGCCATGAGGGCCTGGATGAATCCAGGGAAGTTTCTAGAAATGTGACCATAGAACCAAGGAAGCATCAGGAGAGAGGAGTGCAACAGTTGGGAAGAGAGACCCCAGGACCTCCTGGAGTGTGAGCTCAGTGGGCAGCTGAGTCCCTGTGGGCCTGAGTGCTGCAATCAGTTCCCATCACCACCCTCAGGAGGGGGAATTTTGTGTCCTTCGTTTTGCAGGTGATTTACAGAAGAGGAGCTGTCAGGCTGGGGAAGGCCCTGAGTGTGCTGCAACTTCCATTAGGAGTGCAGCTCACACTTCTGCCTGGGGCCTGAAACCCACAAGTGGCCCAGGAACTCAGACCTCCACTTTCCTACCTCTAGTCCTCTTCCTCCACAGCACAAAAACCACCAAAGCTACAATAACCAGAAAGATGCCCACACCAATGACAATTCCAGTGTTGTGAATGGTGGGCTGAGCAGGCGGCTCTGGGAAGAGAAGGGAAAGGAGGATGAGCACTGTGAACCCAGCTCTCAGTCCTTACCTGCTGAGAGCTGCACATGCCTCCTGCTGTCTCTGAGCACAGCTGTGCTCTGTGCCCTCAGCCCTGCTTACCCCATGTCAGGCTGAGGGGCTCAGGCAGCCCCTCATGCTGCACATGGCATGTGTATCTCTGCTCCTCCCCAGAAGGCACCACCACAGCTGCCCACTTCTGGAAGCTTCCATCTCCTGCAGGCCTGGTCTCCACCAGCTCCATTTCCTGGGTCTGCTCCTCTCCATCCCGCAGCCAGGTCAGGGTGATCTCCGCAGGGTAGAAGCCCAGCGCCCAGCACCTCAGGGTCATCTTATGTTCAGAGGTGGGGTGGAGGGTGATGTGTGCCTTTGGGGGATCTGAGAAGAACCCAGAAATTCAGATGCATCTCCTTGTCTCCCATGGACCACCGTGCAGGTCAGTTGACCATGCTGAGGATACGCAGCACAGTGAGTGGGGGCAGGGATGGATGATCCAGGCTGGAACTAGGCTTCTGGAATCATCTCCTAAGCCTTGCAGAGTCCTAGACTCAGTTGAGATCTCCATGGCCAGAAGCCCCTGATCTCTCAAGAGTTACTTTTCTCTGTCCTGGGTGGAGATAAGAGAGACTTTCTTCAAAAACGTGGAAGAGACTTCTAGCCGCATGGGGCCCTGGTTGAGGACAAATGCTGAGAGCCTCCTAGTGCTTCCAAGGGCCACTGCCGGAGTGGAAGGGCCAGCTGCACACTTGTTTCAGGGACAGTCTTCCCCTCCATGCATGGAGAGATGAGGAGAGGAAAGAGAGGAAGATGGAGAGAGAGAGAGATAGTGTGTGTGTTTCACTGTCGTGAGGTCAAGGTGGATTCCAGAGCCACTGTGTGACACAGCATGTGAAAGGCAGGGGTTCATGGTTGTCTGGGCAGGGGAAGGGGTGTGGTGGGCTGGGTCCCTTTTCCTCTCTGGCTGTGGGAGTGGAGGGGGACTTCCACAGGAGATGGAGGAGTCCCCGGGCCCTGGTACCTGTGCGCTGCAGCGTCTCCTTGCCGCGCTCCAGGTATCTGCGCAGCCACTCCACGCACGTGTGCTCCAGGTAGGCCCTCCAGCCCTCTGCCACACCGGCCTCCTCCCACTTGCGCCTGGTGATCTGAGCCGCAATGTCGGCCGCAGTCCAGGAGCTCAAGTCCTCGTTCAGGGCGATGTAGTCCTGGCCATCGTAGGCGAGCTGATAGTACCCGCGGAGGAGATGGCTGTTTGCGCTCAAGTCGCAGCCATACATTCTCTGTAAGGTGTGAGAAGCTGCCCCGCCCCCACGGTCAGCCCGCGCCCCGCGGGGACTTTGGCCTACACGGAGAGGACACCGGCCCCACCCCGCGGCTCTTTCCCGGGGTGCCGGTTCCCCGCAGCGCCCGCAGCCTGGGCTGAACCTCAGTCCTGAGACCCCGGGGGCTCGGGCTGGCCAGCGGGAGGCGGGGAGGGGTCGTGACCTCCGACCCGGCGGCGTCGCTCACCGTCCGCGCTCTGGTTGTAGTAGCCGAGCAGCGTCTGCAGCCACACTTGGTAAATCTGTGCGCTGTCCTTGCTGATCCGCGTCACCTGCTCCCAGTACTCGGGCGGCTCCCGCTCCACCCACGGCGCCCGCGGCTCCATCCTGGGGTTCGCGGCGTCGCTGTCGAAGCGCACGAACTGCGCGTCGTCTACGTAGCCGACGGCGATGTAGCGGGGCTCCCCGAGGCCGGGCCGGGACACGGCGGTGTCGAAATACCGCAGGGAGTGGGGGCCTGCGGGCGGGCGCGGGTGAGAGCCGGGAGCGCGGCGGGAGCGGAGAAGGGGTTCGGCACGCGGGAGACGCAAAGGGGGTCCGAATGACCCCGGCGGCGCCCAGCGAGGGCACCGAGGACGGGTCAGGCGGAGGGGACGGGGACGCGGCTGCCCGGGCCCTGCCCCCCGACGGCGCCTCACCCCACCGCCACCCCTCGCTCTACCCTGCGGACTCGTGTTGCCCACGGGTCCCAGACTCACCCGCCCAGGTCCCGGTCAGCGCCAGCACCCACGACAGCAGCCGCAGGACGGATCCGTGCGCCATCAGCCCAGCCCCAGAATCCGGGGAGAATCTGAGTGCTCATAGCTTCGCGGGGGACTTTAGAACCGGGAACCCCAGTGACACTGATTGGCTTCTCTAGAACCCGACAGCCAATAGTCGCGAGAACTGTGGTCGCGTCATCAGTGTCCGGGCAGAATCGGCTGAGCTTTCCCACCCAGAGCAGCTCTGTTTCTGAGAAGCTGAGATCTAGGCCAGGACACCTGAGCTTTGTCCTGATCCCTGTCCTCCTGCACCAGCACTCTATCCTAGCCTCTTCTGGGTTTGGCCTGAGGGCGAAGTCAGAGGTCCTCAGAGACTTTGCTTCTATGATCTATGCACACTCACACATTCATGTCGACCCCAAAGGTATTTGTATCATATGGGTTCTGTTACTATTCACTGTTAGGGCTGGGAATATGGTGTAGTGGTAGAATGCTTGCCTAGCATTCTAGGCCCAAGACTGGCTAAAAAAAAAAATCACTTCTAGATATGAGAGTCTTTATTTTTTTCTTTTTTTTTTTTTTGCTGGGGTGGGGGGGTGGGTCCGGTCGTAGGCCTGAACTCTGGGCCTGGGCATGTCCCCTGAGCTTCTTTAGCTCAAGTCAAGTTATCACTCTACCACTTGAGCCACAGCACCACTTCCAGCTTTTTCTTCATATGTGGTGCTGAGGAATCAAACCCAGGACCTCCTGCATGCAAGGCAAACGATCTACCACTGAGCCACCTCCCAGCCCATAAAACAGTCTTTAAAGCTGATGGCTCATGCCCTGTAAGCCTCTCTACTTTTGAAGCAAAGATACGAGGATAGAGGTTCAAAGCCAGCCAGGGCAGCAAGGTCCTTGAGACTCTTACCTCCAATTAACTACCAGAAACTGGGAAGTGGTACTGGGATTCTAGATGATGAATTGCTAGTTTTGAGTATAAATGCTCAGGGACAGCACCCAGGTCTGAACTCAATCCCCTTTGACCAAAACAACAACAGGCCTTCAAAGTACTTGACTTGGGGCTAGGAATGTGGCTTAGTGGGAGAGTGCTTGCCTAGCATGCATGAAGCCCTGGGTTCAATTCCTTCATTCCACATAAAAAGAAAAAGCCAGAAGTAGCACTATGGCTCAAGAAGTACAATGCTAACCTTGAACAAAAAGATGTTCAGGGACAGAGCCCAGACCCTGAGTTCATCAAGCCCCAAGACTGGAACAAACAAACAAAAAGCTTGACTTTTCCTGCTCCTAGTGGCACATGATTTTAATCCTAGTTACTCAGGGGTCAGAGATCTCAGAATCCCAATTGGCAGTCAGTTGGGTCAGGAAACTGGGAGATACTTTTCTTTTTCCTTTTTTTTTGCCAGTCCTGGGGCTTAGACTCAGGGCCTGGGCACTGAACCTGAGTGTCTTTTGCTCTAGGCTAGCATTTTACCACTTGAGCCACAGCAGCACTCTTGCTTTTTCTGTGTATGTGGTACTGAGGAATCCAAATCCAACCCAGGGCTTCATGCATGCTAGGCAAGCATACCAGTAAGCCACATTCCCAGCCCTCTTATCTCTAATGAACTACTCAAAAAACCAGAAGTGATGCTGTGGCTCAAATGTTAGAGAGAGCACTAGCCTTGAGCAAAAGAAGGTCATGGACCATGCCTGGTCCAATGACCAGCAAAGATAAATAAATACATGACTTGACAGAAATGGAGGACAGAGGGTGAACAAATGCAGCAGTGCTATGCACTAGATGTGCATGTGAAAAATAAACTATACAACTAGTGGGTGATGCCAGAAGGGAAAAACTGGGAAGGCAAGGGAAGGGCTGACATTGTCCAAAAGGAAATGTTCTGTTCACCTGACTTCTGAAACTGTAACCGCTGTGCGCTCACCTTTAACATAACAATATAATCTTCAATTGTTTATAATTCTAATAAGTTTTTGCAAGTTAACAGAAAGAATTGTTTATTAGTCTTGTGTGGTTTTGTGTGTTGCTGCTAGTTTCAGGCCCTGGGTGCTGTCTCTTAGCTATTTTGCTGAAGGCTACCACTCTGCCAATTGAGACAGAGCTGCACTTTTGACTATTTTGCTGATTAATTTGCAGTCTAGAATATCATGGTTTTCCTATTCTGATTGGCTCTGAATTTTGTAATGGTGCCAACATGGACAAAATCCACTTGGCTTTTTCACTCACAGCTGGTACTCTACCACTTGAGCCAAACATCCAGTTCCACGTTTTTGTTGGTTAATTGTAGATAAGAGTCTCTCAGATTTGTCTGCCAGGGCTGGCTTCAAATATTTTTTTTAATTAAAAAAATTATTTTTTGGGTCCTGTCATGGGGCCCGAACTCTGAGCCTGGGCGCTGTCCTTCAGCTCTTCAGCTCAAGGCTAGCACTCTACCACTTGAGCCCCAGCGCCACTTCCAGCTTTTTTTCTCCTGCTTATATGTTGCTGAGGAATCGAACCCAGGGACTCAAGCATGCAAGGCAATTGCTCTACCAGGGAGCCACCTTCCCAGTACCCAGCTTCAAATCTTTTTTTTTTTTTTTTTTGTGGTCCGGTCGTGGGGCCTGAACTCTGGGCCTGGGCGCTGTCCCTCAGCTCTTCAGCTCAAGGCTAGCGCTCTACCATTTGAGCCACAGGGCCACTTCCGGCTTTTTTCTTTTTGCTTATGTGGTGCTGAGGAATCGAACCCAGGGCCTCATGCATGCAAGGCAAGCGCTCTACCACTGAGACAACTTCCCAGCCCCCTAGCTTCAAATCTTGATCCTCAGACTTCAGTCTGATTATAGGTGTGAGCCCACAGTGTCTAGTTGGTACTGTGATATTTTGAGATATACCACTCTAAAATCTGAAGAGCTTACGTGCAAAGAAAATCTCTTCTTCATAAGGAAAAAAGTAGAACTGGAAAGATGTAAGTTCTGTAATAGACAGGAGATTCCACAGCTCACACTGCCTCATCTTTGCCAGGGCTGGGTTCTAGGAAGCTGCTCATACACCAAACTGTTCCTGCAACCATCTCTGGGAGGTATCCCCAACACAGCCACTCACCCTTTGTGTTGAGAATCCCTTTCCCTTAAGCTAGCTTGATTCAGTTTCTAGTACTCAGAACCAAAAACCTCTCAATAATGTTTTCATGTTTGTCTTCTGCTTTTCCATAAAACTGTTTGATCTACAAGAAGTATAATTTTTTTTTTTGAGTGTGTGTGTGTGTGTGTGGGGGTTAGTCGTGGGGCCTGAACTCTGGGCCTGGGTGCTGTCCCTCAGCTCTTCAGCACAAGGCCAGTGCTGTACCACTTAAGCAATAGTGCCACTTGTAGTTTTCTGGAAGTGGAGATAAGAGTCTCACGGACTTTCCTGTCCAGGCTGGCTTTGAACCGTGATCCTCAGATCTCAGCATCCTGAGTAGCTAGGATTACAGACCTGAGCCATTGGCACCCAGCTGGGAAGAAATTTTTTGTCTGTTTTGTTCACTTGTGATAATCTAAGTACTTATAATAATACCTGGCCCATCATTGATGTTCAAAAATGTTTACTGAATAACAAATATTAGCCTTTCTTAACAGTATTTTCCATGCCGAGTTTTATTCAGTGTATACTTCCCATTTACTGAAGAAATTTCAGCCCTGCAATTTGGTCTTTATTATCTGTCCACACTGCTTTGGAAAGATTTTCAAAGTCACTGTTTCCAACTATTTTTCTCCTCCTCCTTTGCATGGTTGAAGCTGATGAAGGAGTTTTTTTGGCCGGACCCACATGCCTTGTCTTGGGAGGATTAAGAGCAGCATCGCCCTCTAGTGGAACAGGGCTTTGTAGGTCAGAACCCCACGCAGGTGTGGTTTACAGAAATCCAAGAGCATTAGGGGCTGGGATATTGTTCAGCTGTGGTCAGGGCCAAGCAGACAGCAGCAATCTGTAATGGAGGCTAGAGTTGGGACTACAAGTGGGGGTCAACAAGAAAGGGAAAACTGAGTTACCACAGCTTCAATCCTCAGATCTTGGCCTCTTGAGGAGCTACAAGTAGTACAGCCTTGCTTCTGACTTTAATGGGAAATTGGAGACAAGTCTCTCAGATTTGTCTGCCCAGGATGGCTTCAAACCACAATCCTCAGATTTCAGCCTCCTGAGGATTACAGGTGTGAGCCACCATCACTCAGCTGATTCCATGTTATTTTCTCAGAACGGAAGGAAAAAGACAGCTGTTGAGGGATGCGAAGTTGAAGCCCTCCACTAGACCAGTGGCCTTTGTGTTTTGTTCTTGGCTTCCCTCACTGAAAATAATTTGCTCTTGTTCCATCCATGTCCTTGAAAATTCCATTATTTTGTCCTTTGAAATGGCTTCATAATATACCATTGTATATAGGTACCCCAATTTTTGGATCCACTCCTCAGGAGTGGGGCATCTGGGTTGTTTCCAAAACTTCTGCCATCTAATATGGAGTGTGAAAAAGTAAGTTGGGTCCATGGCATGGGAGAGTGCTTCTCGGTGAGTAGGCTTCTTCAGTGATGGGAACAAGGAACAGCTTTGCCACCAGGCCTCACTGTCCTAAACCCACTAAGCAATTGTCACTTGTCACCAATTGATTCCAGTTTCCTGTCTGTTTACAGACACATACATAGCCAAGCAGCAGCAGCCCCCCCTCTTCATCAGCTGCATGCACACACACACACACACACACACACACACATACACACATAAACCTGCTTATCTCCATGAAAACTTGCAGCTAGCAGCTGCAAGTCACTTAGCCAGGGCTAAGTTCCTCTGAGGTTTGCTTTTAATTAAACCTGTTGTTTCTCAATGTCATTGCTCATTCAAACCTTAAGCCCTTTTCTGACAAACTTGTTGGATGCAAGGCAAGTGACACACAAGAAGAGATCTCAGGGGCTAGGAAGGTGGCTCAATGGTAGAGCTCTTGCCTTGCATGCCTGAGGCCCTGGGTTCGATTCTTCAGCACCACATATGCAAAAAGAAAAAAGCCAGAAGTGATGCTGTGGCTCAAGTGGTAGAGCACTAGCCTTGAGCT